AGGCGAGTTGTGGGGCGACGAGGAGCAGGAGCGGAAGACGCAAATTAACCCGAGGATTTCGACAACCCGCTTATTAGCCCGGCTCCTTAACGCCCGCACAGAGGCCAGCGATTAACACAAAGTGCCATTATGCCTAAGTGTCGACGGCTCACCTTCCGCTTTTTAATTCGCTCCAGCGAGCCTCCCACAGCGTCGCAGGTTGCTCACACGACGATAAGCCAGCCGAGCCTCTACCCGCCTCGCGCTCGCTCTCCCCCGTAAAAGCATAATTAAGATTTCGAGCTCTAAGTCTAATTCGCTCGACGGTTTTTACTTATCGGCTGCTATGCGCACCGGGCACTTTATAATTTCGCGCGCGGCTCCCCACCCCGCTGCGCTCCCTACTGTTTATTACCTCTTCGGGTTCATCAGGAGTCGTTTGAAGTGCCGAGGCAGCGCCGCCTTTGTGGGCCGCGCGCTCTCGCGCCCCCGGGCCGTGATTAGCAGCGTCGCGAGATGCAGGGACCACGCAGCGAGCGTTTCACGGGCGACAAACTCGCGCAGACGAGAAAGACGGGAGAACGCTTTAAATCTCGAAATCGTCATCGCCGGCACCGCGCACCTAAAACGCATGCATGCGTGCGCGCCACTTGTTTGTCTTGCGGCAGCGGCGGCGCTGCGTGCGCTCGCTCGCGTAACTGCCGTCGTCGTCGTCGTCGGCGGCGGCGCGCGACAAGGGTCGCGACGTCGGGCGCTATCAGCGGGCCGACGGTGTGTGAATACGAGACACTGCGCACACACGCGCGTCGCATGCATACTAAGCTAATTTTAAAGCTTGAGTGCTCAATCGTTACCACTTGTGAGGACGCCGCCATTTAACCTAATTCGGCGCGCACAATGCGCACGTTCCGTCCGTCAAGGTGTCGGAATCGTTTGAGAAGCGAAGCCGACACCCGATACAAAACATGCGGCCGTCGCGCGAGAGCGCGCGGGAAGCGTTTGATATTTCCCCGCGCAGCTATCTCCTGCACTCCTCTCTCTCTCTCTCTCTCTCTCTCTCAGTCTCACACGCGTACGTACGCACGCACGCACGCACGCACGCACGCACACACACACGCACGCACGCACGCACGCACACACACACACACACAAACTTTCCCTCTCATTCTCTCTCTCTCTGTGATCATTCAAGCTTCCAGCGGAAAGCAAATTAGTTCCTGAATTAAAATGCGCTTCCATTTCACGACTCGGCGGCAACATGGCCGCCCGCGTACGTGTTCGCGTTTATGGAACGAAACTTTATTATTTACGCGCGGGCGAGCAGAACTCTGCGGCGCCTTTGATGCTGTGATCTAATCCCGCGGCGCCCGATAGCGTAGCATCTCGCTGCCCCTCCCCATGAGCGCGGACACGGCAAATCCATCCACACCCCACCCCACCCACTGTCCGATCTAATTTGTATATCAAAACGGATCAAAGCTACGCTGCGCTGGCCATACGCGACCGCGGATACGGACATGCAGATATTCCTGTTTAATTTCCATGACGCCGATCAATGAATATTATTATGAGGCACCGCGATGCCGCCAACCGTCGAGCAGACAATGCAAGATGGGCTGACAACGCATGCCGCCGCCGCCGACGACGCCGACGACACCGAAGACATTTTCCGAAAAGAGCACACAGAAACCTCGGCTTGGAATCCTGGCGAGCGGGACGTGACTACGATACGCTCTACTACCTGCGTCGCGGCGCTCATGCGTCTCTGCACGAGGCTCTGTGTAGGGAAGCCCGCCAGCGAATCTCGGGGCTCAGGTTGCGCAATCACCGATTGCCGTCACGATGAGGGTGAACGGACTTTTCGACCACATATTTTCAACAGATAGGAATTTTCGGACAAATTCAAATTTTGTTGTTTTGTGTTTATTTGTTTGTGTAATGTTTAATTTTTTATTATTATTGTCATTAAATCCTAAATATAATTACAGAAATATTATGGATGGCACTAATGTATGTGAACTGGAATAAAAAAGTATTTAGGAATTTTTTTTTGAATTTGGCCGAAAAGTCATATCTGTTGAAAATATGTGGCCGAAAAGTCCTAGACCAAAAAGTCCTACATTCCACGCGATGACTGGCGCCCGTCACCAGACACGCGGCCTCCTCCCGGTGCCCCGCGTGCCCTGGCAGAGCTCGCACACGGAGCGACCCGGCACCTGCGTGCTGGCGCCCGGAAGCCCTGCCGGAGCTCGGAGCCGGCGCGGCCCGCACCTGTGTCGCACTGACAATGCGTCGCGTGCGCTCGCCTTGGCACGCACGCACGCACGCACGCACGCATGCACGCACGCATGCAGCAGCAACAGCAGCAGCCGCGCGCTTCGACGACAAATTGCCCTAATCCGGCGATCGCGCCGCGCCGCGGCCGCACCTCGGCAGACGCGATTACGCACGCCCTATTACTTCGCAGCGAGGCGGCCTCTTTGGCGAGAAATTGCCCATTTTGTCAGAAAAGTGACGAATTCGAGAAGTTGGAGAGCGGCGCGAGCGCGCGTCTGCCGTGGAATGCTCGACGCAGATCGAAGCCGCGTGTGTGCGTGCGTGCGTGCGTGCGTACGTGCGCGTGCGTGCAGACGCCGTCGATCCCGTGGAAGCACCGTTCAACCGGGATTAGCTCGGCGTGAGTGTTTTCGCCTAATGTATGCACGCTTAATTAGATTATTTCGGTTGATTAAACATTGTGCTGCGGCTTCTTTGATCGTCGCCTCCGCAAAGCTTATCAGTTGTAGTTAATAGCGGAGAGCGGTCGCAGGCAATGAGAGACAGAAAGAGAGAGAGAGAAAGAGAGAGAGAGAGAGAGAGAGAGAGAGAGAGAGAGAGAGAGAGAGAGAGAGAGAGAGAGAGACGGACAGACGCACGCACGCACGCACGCATGCACGCACGCACGCACGCGCGCGGAGAGAGAGGGAGGGAGACAGTGACGTCGACACGCGAGTCGGGCGACACCGCGACTCTGTCTGCGACAGATGTGCCGACAGTCGGGCTGGCTGCGTGACTGACTACATACCGGTGGTAGCCACGCAGTCGCTCAGAAGCGCACTCTGGGGGCGCGCGTCGCGCCAAACCCTACATCTGCGCAGAGTCGCAAACGTAATGTGCATGATTAGAATCCTCTCATGCACGCAGGATTGTGAATGTCGAACTGACCGACTGAGAACTGGCTGACCCGCAAGACAAGCGAAGGATTCCCGAGCAGCGAGCACGCATGTATTTGCGCTTTGCATTAAAAATGTAAAATTTACGACATGCGAACGTATGCGCACTTGGGCCGCCATAAAATCTGCGTTTCATATAAATGTAATTAAATGTTATTAATTAAAAAAAATTACAATACGTTGTCGCTAGTACTGTGGCACATGCACGCAAATAGTATCGTTACAACACAATATACCTATGCATGCACTATACATACACTATACACATACTCCCATACATACACATATACTATACACTACAGACTATACACTACACACGTACAAGGAATTCCCTATTTGAAATATGTCAGCAGAAAACACCGACTCCTGCGTAAAACTGCTCGCTTAACCTGCTGTGTTAACTGTCGTTTTTTTTTAAATGTCAAGTTTGTTACTACTCGCTAGAACGAACGATTTCCCTACTATCCTGTAGAAAAATGTCATGAAAAATCAGCAAATCGTCAGCAAATCGTGGGTAAGTAGATTTAGACTGCGAGCAGAGGCAGCACCATCGGCTGCGCACCCTACAAAGCTCGCTGGCATGAAGCGACAGGCGGAATCCGACATAAGTAGCTCAATTTACATCCCCACCGCTTTATCAAATGAAAACGAAAATGGAATCCGGACGAAAAACAAACAGACAGCAAAACAAAAACAGGCCACAAACAATTAAAAAATCGGAGCAGGTAGTTTCGGAGTACAGCGATAATAATCAGGCCCGCGCGGGATGAAGATGGATTTGTAAAAAATAGCAAGCATAAGTAGTGGTATGCGAAAACATTTTCGTGGATTTAGCACAGCGCCCGCGCTCGCTATGTCTGTCATGCAAGCACTTACACGACCTCCCGATGCACCATGGCTATGATTGATGCAGCAAGCCCACGTACAAAAATTATCCCATTTAAATTGGTTAATTTTGCTACAATCATATAAAAATCCCGTCCTTTAAATTTAATATATGTAGATTAGCAATTCCAAAATTTGGTTACTTAAAATTAGGTGCACGAGTGAAAAAAGAAAAATAATATGAGCCACTAAAAAATAATGGGAATTTTTAGTCACCTATTAATCGATTATACAGAATAATTATACACGGTTAATTAATATATTGCGGAAAATACATGATCAACTTTCTTTTCTGTTTGCGATTATTGTGAAGCATTACAAAACTAATAATTAAGGTATAAAATAATATTCATACAGAAAACTTACGTTTTACACCGTTGATTAATCAAACAATGCTCTTAGATATTGTTCCACTACTCGAAAAAATTAACGAATTTGCTAAGCTCCTTTCCCATAAACTTTCCATAACCCTATAAACATCGCAATAAATTACTGTTAGTAATGCAATCGTGGTTTTCTGTCTAGATTTAGAAAAGGGAATATCTTAGGCCTAAGAAAGCACTATCGTGGATCTATAACTACGTAACGAATTGCAGACAGAAAAGTTGCACAGACGTCATCTAAGGTGACAGTAAGAAAATGACAGCAGGTGGCCAGTAGTTTCCTGCATGATATTCCATAAAAGTGCGTATAAATTCTCATGTTTTAACATCGCGTTCTCATGTTCACGCTCGTTTGCACAGCTGCCCCACACTCCATCATCTCCCACCTCTGCTCCTGCTACATTACTCCTGGGACTGCCGCGCTGAAGGCGACAGGCAGTCGCTTTGATTTGCGCATTTGATTAATTTCCACTAAGCGCACAAAATTCACGAGTGACATTCCTAAATAAGATGTCTACAAGAATCAGTGCGGTGCACTCACTGTTCGTAGTATTCACTCCCAGGGGTAAGGAGTCTCAGGGGCGCATCCCACGATGTATCAGAGACAGGGCTTGCACTTTTCTCATTCACTGGCGGCACCCCTGACAAGTTGCTAAAGCCAAACGCAGAGAGGTAATCAATTGCTACAGTAGGGAAGGAAAAGCAAACCCAGGAAACAAAATTTTTTTTTTTAAAGTCCCCTCCCCACATTCATACATTCGAGCGTTAATTAAGGCAGCTAAAACATGCTAAATTATAACTATACTGGAAAGCTATACTGGCAAGCAGCTGAGGCAAGCAGCTGAGGCAAGCAGTAGATAGAACCGGTATTTCCAAGACTGCACAGTGCTGCCACCTTTAGGCACCAAACATGTATTTTGTAATTTTAATAAAGCTATTTGCCAGTTACCTATCATTGGAAAGATTCTCTCCGTAAAAACCACCATCCCTTTCTCCTCCCCATCTAGCTTCATGATTGACTCTTCCGTAATATTGCTGCTCACTGGGAGACACCAACACCTTTACATGGCTAGATGAAACAATTATTGAGAACAGTTTTACTGCTAGCCATGCTTGTACAACCTGACAATCCATGCATCCGAATCGTTAATTTAAACAACTAAAATATTTTTGAGCATACAATTAGAAGCAACAATGCAGTGAATAATTTTATAGAAGGAAAAATATGTTATTTATATTATAAAGGACATATATTATCATGTATTATCAGCAAAGTATCCGCAGTATTAAAAAAACTGGTTTCAAATGAGTAATTCTCACAACCGTTAAAATTTCGGATACTCTTTTCAGTTCAATTAAATGAAATAGCTATAACTTATAATAATGAAATTATAATGTAATAGTCAATTATTTACCTGTGTCGCTTGTTTCTGCCAGATATATCATTCTACAATCATCAAATAAAAAAATGCAAGAAAGTGTTATATAAACGATTTCACACAAATATAACAGAATAGCCTTTCATATGCTGCTATTTTTTAGTTGTAGTTAAACAGCATTTAACTCTTGGTCTGTTGTAATAAAAACTACTAAAAAACATGTTACGATAATGCTCCACCTGCATCGTTTGTTCTAAATACACACTGGTTTTATTCATTTGTAAATGTTATGTATGATATAGTAACTGTTGACACATGGAACGAGTTTTCATCATTTCATATACCTTTACGACCAACTACTGTAATTCACACACGAAGATGTTTATATGTAACATCAAGAGTAGATAATAACACAAGAGTTACGCACTTGATTCCCGCATTTTTAACCGATTTTTTTCATCAAAATTTGCCACCAATAAAGAAGCAAGTGTATACGTTCCTCAGCATATTATGACCACTAATCACTCACCTTCGTGGTACTGATATTCGTTTACATATATTTGCTAGCGTATTGCTGTAAATCGTAAACTTGCACAAGCTTAATTCGCACAATTTACCGCTGTTGTGTAGAGGTGTTAAGACAAAATTTGAAGCTATAGTGGCACCAATATTTAGCAACGGACTGTTCCCAAATCATTCGTGCCCCGATAGGGTTGAGAGACAATCTAAATTTCGAATTTTGATCTCGTGAGGAACCGCGAGACGCGCTCAGTTATTGTGATCGCAACACAAGAAATTGACATACTATCTTACATAAGTTATAATACAATAATAACAATATTCTCTGTAGTAGTTTGCAGTAAGTATCACATTACGCACGCGCAGGTAATAAAGTACATTAAACTCCTATCGGGGCACGAATGATTTGGAAACAGTTCGTTGCTAAATATTGGCGCCACTATAGCTTCAAATTTTGTCTTAACACCTCTACACAACAGCGGTAAATTGTGCAAATTCAGCTCGTGCAAGTTTACGATTTACAGCAATATGCTAGCAAATATATGTAAACGAATATCAGTACCACAAAGGCGAGTGATTAGTGGTCATAATAAGCTGAGGAACGTATACACTTGCTTCTTTATTGGTGGCAAATTTTGATAAGAAAAATTGGTTAAAAATGCGGGAATCGGTTGTGTAACTCTTGTATTATTATCTACTCTTGGTAACATACAAGTCATTGAACTATCATTTACTATAATAATAATAATAATAATAATAATTATTATTATTATTATTATTATTATTATTATTATCATTATTAAGGAGATGGAGAGGGACCTAACATGGACTCACAGATTCGTGGGGTGGCGGTGACAGTGTGGAGTTAGACCATGGAAGTTTCACACCAATCTTCTTAATGTGCTCTCGCCGCCGTTCAATTATCTGTCGTTGTTCGTCTGCCTGTGAGGTGGTGACATCTGGTGATTGAGCTCTGCGCACCAGGTCGCTGACCATTACTGGATGTTGGTTGCGCATCATTGCTGAATAAACCTCGGCTCCATAGAGAGCCACCTAGAGATTAAATGCACATTGAAAACTGTATAGTGTTGGAAAAACTGACATCATAAAAACCCAATGCAGTCACAGAATTTCTCCATGTATCATTTCTCTCATTTTGTCTTCCAATGTAAAAAAAATCTTGAGAAAGTAAAGATATTTCCGATACAGAAACACAGAGATACGCATCTATGCATGCACGCACGCACGCACGCACACACACGCACGAGTGCATACCTGTTGAGTGAAGTATATCAGCTGTGTCTCCTTTTGTGACTTGTACATCAACATCTGCTGGTAAATTTTCTGTGATTTCCACATCCTATAATTTTTCTGTATGCAGATCGCAGCGCCCTCTATCTGGCGCCGGTGATGCTCCATGATAGCCGAGATGCGCTTGCGCACACGGTGACCTCTGTATGCTGCAAAAAAAATGCGGACCGTACAGGGACGATTCAGAAACTTCATTCTCTTCAAAACCAGCACTAGGCCTTATAATTTTAATTACTAGGCCTTATAATATTAATAATTTAGGTCGCTAGTAAAATACATAAACCTTCTTGGGAAAAATATTGTTGCGTCAGTCGAAATTCAATGAGTTCATATTTGTATTTTACCTAATATATTAAAATACAGTATCCTTTTAGAAAAAATGTCTAGTCTGTCTAGCAGAAATTCACACCTCTCAGGTCAGTCTATGAGCCAGCCAAGGTAGTTCGAATTAATAAAAGGGATTATTACAACAGATGCAGCAGGTAATTGGATTGCTGGTACAGGATTCCACCGTCACCTCTAATATGGTGCATCTTCAATAATGATATACAATGTGACTTGATTCGGCTGAGTAATGTTTCCAGGGTCCATTTCGTTTCATAGAATAGTAATACGCAAAATATCAATAATGTAAGACCTCAAGAAAGGTGTGTGAGACAGGAGGGCACAGACAGGCCGTGTGTTCTATTTTTGAAGCAGACACACTGACATATGGATTGGGTCATTCACCTTCAACCGGGTGACACAGGCACCTGCCCTGCACTACCATACTGGCACAGCAGGAAACGTGACGGCTCTTTATACCTTGTATTTCATTGTTTTGTCACTTTTATCATCTACTAAACAGGTTTGGAATATGTCGCAACACAATGATAGCTGCTATGCAACATATAGTTCATTTTACAATGAAAGAGGAAATGACAATTCACCGAAAATATTATCTACCAAAACAACCAGGAAAGACGCTTCAGAAAAGTCTGCTCCCCGTTAATGTGGATGTATGCGTATGGATTTCACAATGCATAATTTATAATAACGACATCAGATATAGTTTGTAAGCCCTCATGGCTATTCAGGTCTGTCGACGTCACATTCATGCATTCAAACACGTGAATGTGCACTTACACACATGCATGCACACATATGCGCACTCACGCTTGAACACACACGACACGAATTCGTACACCTGCACCCACATACACGAGCACAGGTGCACGTTAACTCACACACATGCACACCCACGAGAATTCATTTTTAAGCATGAATACGGACGTGCACGCACACGCACACGCACACGCACACGCACACGCACACGCACCCACGCACATGTGCGTGCGCACGCACACATATGCATGCATACATACACGCAAGCACCCACATTTATCTGACATATTTACAAGATTTGACGTTCTGGACAGTAAATACAATACCTGACACTCTGAACACAAAAAACAAAACATGTGCACAATCGGTAAATATATAGTGATCGTGGAGTGCATTGGGGATACTTGACACGTTATTTCTCTCTCTCTCTCTCTCTCTCTCTCTCTCTCTCTCTCTCTCTCTCTCGCACACTCTTTCCTCCCTTCTCTCTCGTTCATCCCTCACTCCCTCCCCCTCCCTCTCTCTCTCTGTCTTTCTCTCTCACCTGCTTGTATCTTAGTAGCACTAGCATGCAGCTTCCTGTAGCAGGCCAACTTGCGTCGAGCGGCCAGCCACCTCCGAATCACTCGCTGCAGCTTCCAGAGGGCCATGTGGCGCCGCCGCAGCGCGGGTCCATGCTGTCTGCGCACCCTGTAGCCACGCCACACTGAAACACGAGCAGAGCCTGAGAAAACTGCGGAGCGAAAGCTATAACGTAAGCAAATACACTGTAAGTGCACGACACCATATTCTGCGATGATTGTGGTGAATGGCCATGCATTTAGGCCACCTGGTCAACGAGAAAGACATGCACGTGCGTTGACTGAAACAAGACAAACGAAGAAACGAATGCAAAATGAGAAGAACGAAGGTACCATGCAATAATACACACTATGTGCGGCAGTGTCACCGACACCAACAATTGCCTACCACTGCTATGAATGTTGCTGGACGATTCACGAACAAAATTCACTAGCATCTCGTAGACGGGACAGTTGTTTCACAGGCAACCCTAAATCCAACTCCGAACACACTGCTACATTCTCGTTTCTGCAAGTTTTAGTTCTTAGTATTCTACTTCCCTGTCAATTGCCTATAATGTACGAATTTCTCAACTGTGTAACTAAATTGATAATGATCTACAAAACGCTTGTGTTACCATCACCACATCTACACCACCTCCACAACCCACGCGTTCGCTGCGATTCCAAGACGCCATGGGAGAATCCATTCACGAGATTGTTTCTAAGAAGGTCCACCACCAGCGACATTTCAAATAAACTGCTTACCTCTCTGGATACAGGCAGCTGCTCGTCTTCTGTCGTGAATTTTTAGGTGGTACCTTTTTCTGACAAGCCAACCTCTCACAACTGTGCAAAGTGAGACAGGGTGAGTTTGTGCACGGCACTGTGAAGATGAATGCAAACGCACCCCACACACGCAAGCATGCACGCACGCACGCACGCACTCGGAAACAGCAATAAGGTGAGGAAGCACAACCAAACAGCTAGTCGTGTGCAGCCGTGAAAATCTACGGTGAATAGTGACGATTTTAGGCGGTGCTGAAAGAAACCACTGCGCTTCGACGAACACAGCACGCAGCGCAGCTATAAACTATAAAACGTTCACGTGAAGAGAAACGCACCTCCCGCCGTGACCTGCACAAAAAAGTATGCAGCAGGACGTGCAACCAACCCAAACATTTCCGAAACACGGCGATTACGTTGCTTTATGGAACGCACGGTGATAATGCATGCGTATACGGACGATAACAGTCACACGCCAATGCAGTCAAAATGTTTTGTCTGTTTGATCGGCAATACTTCACGTGACGTTCACAATAGGTTCGCAGTTAACCTATGGAACTGGTTCGTGCGGATTGTCGATGCGGTTGAGAGCACCAATTAGGCGAGTTCAGTTATACTTAATTTGCATACTCATCGAGGTTCAACTAATATAATTGATTCTATGTAAATAGTACGATTGTAATCGCGTTTTTCCTCCAGCACGCAGTGCCTGTGATTGTATACATTCGTTACTTTTTGTGTACCACCATGCAATATTGTTGACCCCCCAAAAATAGGAGGTTGCTTGCTATTTTTTTGCGAAATTATCAGAGTAAATACCTTTATTCCTTTCACAAAATATTAAGGTTGTAACCTCATAACCGTTAATTTGATTAAATTGTTGACACTGCTGGGATGGTTTCTATACAAGCAATCAAACGTAATTTCAAAAACTGACAAACAGCTTTCTTAAACACACAGAATAATAACACAAACCGAATCGGTTACAGTGTAACTCTCGACTTAAAACACCTATATCTGTCAATACCTATTCAGCAGATGCAAGATGAGAGCACATAGTTACATCTACAGGATACATTTTCATCATGTGTTTTGCATCAATTATTTTACTGTTTACAACATACTATATCATTACTATCCTAATATTCTTCAAATACCCACAGGATGTGAGCTCCATGCTTGAACGTATTCAATGGACATCATTATCCTAAATAAACAATAAGCACTTTCATGCAGTGCAGCGACATACCTCTCTGAACAAGCAGCACACTCCTCAGCAGGTGGCGCTTGTGACGGCAGATGCGGCGGTGCACGAGAAGCCTGCGCACACAGCTCTGCACGACGACGACCTTACGCACGTGAGCTTCGTACATGCGCGACAGCTGCTCCATGTGATAGTACTTGAGAAACACCTACAACGACATTGACGCACGCACACAAATGAATGACAGGAAGGTAACGGTAAATATTTTTTTATTTATTTTTTTAATTAGTTAAAAATAAACAGTGTCGTTTTTAAAATCGATTGCATGCTGGATGAGCATTTTTACGTCAGGGCGGCTTACTAAGCTTTCTTTGTCAAAAGTGTGCATATCCGGTGTAGTGGTATTAAATGCAAAATATAAAAAACAACATGCGTTCTCTCGAACCTTTGTCTTCCCAAGTGCCCAGTTGTCCAATTGCAGTTTCTCCAGAAGAATTCTGCAGTTTTCGCGTGTAGCTAGCACCTTCTCATTCCATGCAAATGCCAGGATTGCATACCTTCACAAATAACAAAAAAATTCTCAAGCTGATTCAGATAATGTTCTATTCTAATAAACTTACAAATCCATAACTGTAATTACAACCAGTATCATTTTACATTATCCATAGTGGCAATATTTCAATTCAAGGTCATAGTTGTTGGTTACGTACCGGTGGAGATATTCACCAAAGGGTATTCGGTGCGAATAGCCCATACGTCGGATCTTTGTCGTTTCCAGTACACCAGTGTATCTCAGCTGCTGTCGAACCTTCTCCTTATTAAAGCACCCAGCCACCTTTTCGTCATTTGGTTTGATGCACCTACATTACAAACATGAACTCAAGTTAAATGACACTGCTACTGCTATTAAATGCAACTGTGGTCTGGGTCTTAAATCATCTAGCATGTGAAATGACAATGGTTATTGTTTCTAAAAGTGATAACAACTACTCATACTTGCTTCGGGTGGTGCATGTGAAAATTTGCATAAATAGTTATCACTTCCCAGTAAGTAACCATAGCATTAACAGCGTGAGAAACTAGCGGTCGCCCAGTCGCCAGTGGCGATTAGAAAATCGACCGGGCGACTGCTTGCTCATGTCAG